CTTGCGCGACTTGCTCTTGTGAGACTTGCTCTTGTGAGACTTGGAGGACTTGGTAGATTCGCTCATGTGGGACATGGTAACTTGAAAAACGCGGGTGAAGAAGAAAGAAAAAAAGGAAAAACGACTCTTTTTATGACCATGAGAGCAAAAACAATTGAAATCCCGCTGAACGCGTGACGTAACAACTTTTTTTTTTGCTCGTTTTGAGCGTAGAAAAGATACTCGTTCGGGAAAAAAAGTGAACAAGTAGAAGGGGCAATGAAGGACGAGTGCTATTGTTGTCATCGTTATATGGCGCCGCTTTATGCGTGGAACGGGTCTCCGCTTAGATCTTCCAGGCACCGTGTCAAGGTTTCTTGGCCAGTGCGTCAGCGAGAAGGGAACTTTACAATAGAAACACCGCAAATGTTGTTAGCCACAAGTCAGGGTAGTTAAGATATGCACAGGCATCTGTTAGCAGCAACGATCGAATTATTACCACTGGACTTTTGAGATCTTGTGAAAATCGTCCGCTTCTACTTTTGAGTTATTCAAATTATCTTATAGGCCTGACGTATTTATATAAAACGTTCGAAGTCTATAAGGTATGCCAGTAGTTTTCACTGTTTTTAAAGAGAAATGCTTCCTTTGGTTCACGAATGTAGAGGAAACAAGGAGCTGAAGGCGAAGAGGAAAGGGTGGGCATATTGGAACGTATAATGTAACGGCTACATATGTAATACTTGCTATCTAGATGTCTTGTCGTGAGATTGTATAAGAGTCATGCAACGAATTCCTTTCCTCCCGATCGAAATTAGCACATGGTAGAGACAAAGCGCAGTAAATTGTAGTCAGAAGCTTCTTATACCATGATATGTCGATATATAATCCGGGAAGTCCTGTCGCTAAGGCATCCTACTTAATAGACTGATACTACTGTCATTTTGATCCGGAAATTCAACGGCGGAATTCTATATGAAGAATAACGCTGTGGAAGAGAGCTATTAAGTATGGATCAGTGCCTATATGTGAAATAATAACACAAACGCTGGAAGACATCGTGACGACATTTTGAAAATGTGTAGATGATGCATGTACGTTTAAGCTACGCAGCTTTGGTGTGAGTGTTGCAAAATAACTGAGATTTCTTAGCGTGCTTCAACATTTATTCATCCAAAGTATACCACAGGCTGCTACTCCGTGCCCTTCAGAGCGTTGTGCATATTTTTTTGGTAATCTACCAGCCTAAAGTCATCTTTTGGTGCAGTCCTCAAGACACTTTCATGATTAGACGTAGTATGCTGTCCACGTAATATGTACAGCAGCACGTTCATCATGCTGCTACAGTAGCCATTGCAAGAAGTCTGTATTCTATTATACGGTACTCTTGCGATGTAATATATACTCCCATTCTCATTTTCTGAGCAAGTGGTAGATATGGTAGGAATCATTCTCTTGCTTTGTTACATAGAAAGCATGGTAGTATTGATTGCGTGAGAAACATATTGATCATCATCGTTCTGAGATATGTCGTTTCACTGGATTCTTAGGGGAAAATCATAACCATACAAATCGCCCTCTTACAGTGATATCATAGCTCCATTCCTAATGTCACCTCTTATGAAGGCTACTCTGACTACTACTTCACATCCAAACATCTTTGTACAAAGTGTAGTTTTATGGCTCATTATGTATAACGATTTAGCCCAGGATAACTGCTTTGCAATTTATGATGTCAAAGTATTGTGAGATATACAGAAGAAGAGTTGCGTTGCAGGTACCTTACTTGAAGTCATTCCTACTACGAAATGGAGCAAGCAAGGAATAAGTAAGGGAGCGAATATGCACATACCCGCTTTCTCTAGCATCGCTAATTTTCCCGCGCGCCACCTCCACAATATCATCGTCGCTAAGTACTGTTACAAGTACACCAGCTCGTCGATTTATGATGTCGTTTCTAGGCGATGTCGCTTGGAGATAAATTTGCCGACTACTCCAGGCATCCAAAGCTGCATAGTGTGCTTGCTCGTCAGTAAGTCGACCTTCCTAGTTGCCTTGTTGTCAACCCTTGGATAGACGATGTTGTAGAAATATCTGCCAGACTTGATCCAGTAATTGGTTTGCATTTGTACTCGTTGCATCTTGTCAACAGGTTCACGACTTGGATGCTTGAATCTTATTGGATTGTTGAGGAAAAGATCGTGAAAGCCGAGTGATATCATTTGCGTTGTTACGTCCAAACCTTGATGATATCTTTGCGATTAAGCAGCGTCCAGATAGCGTGTGGCAATGATATAACTTCTCCAGCTTTAATATTTATACTCAGTCGTCGTATACAAATTGTATTATTGATACTAAATGCCACGTTGGATCATTTTCATAATATGTCCACTCTGCGTCAAGACCAACGACGGTCGGTTGCTGTTCAGTGCCATATTGTTCGAGTAGCGGTGTCAAAGCAGCTTCGATTTGCAAAGGTGAGCTGTGGATTGTTACTGAAATTGTCGGTGGCAGCTGTAGCTGCGGCAGATGACATCATAATATGTTTCAGCGACTTATACGTGGATGAACGTCAGTACGAAGAAATTCGATTTGTGTTTCGAAAAACTGTTCATCGGCCTCCACTTTGTCAGTAAATAGGATTTTTGGATGACGATGACCATGGTCAGTAAGACTTTGTAGCATGGCTAATCGCAAAATTAGTTTCGGTTACTGTAATGCAATCAGCCGGAAATTATATGAAAAAAGTGTAGTATACCTTGTATTCCTTGTTCTATGTGATCCATGGATGTAGTAGGCACAAAAGCTTGATACCGGATCTCTCCGTATTCCTTTGTCATTGATACCAACCCTTCAAAAATTTTGCAAGAATCTAGTTTGCAAAGATGCTTTGTCACCTATTATACTACAGACAAAGCACTTGTCAGAATATATATACACAAAAAGCAAATAGATCAAACTCACCTTATGGCTGTGGTCAATGTTGATTATGGTGGCTGGTGGAGAGCTCATGTGGTTGTAGTGGTCGTTTATATGCATTTCAGCAAATGCACTGTACATTTTTGGGAGATACTTAGGACCAGGTGTCGAACCACCATATCCATCTCGATCATCGAATGATGGGAAATTCTTGAACTGCCTTGATGCCGAGTGCACTGGTTTATAGAACGAATTGATCGCCGATTGTCTAGTGGGTGATGGATTTTGCTGCTCGTAAGAATGTTCTTGTTGCTCTAATCTTCCTTCCGCATACTGCCATTCAACTTTGTCGTGTCGCAGGTGGTGTCTAGTGCTCAGTGCTTTTGCAAATGGACCGGGCCCCATTCTGTTACCAAAGCAGAGCCGCATATTTGTCATCAAATACTTGGATACACCACTTTTACGTGGAAGAGTGGCCGGCTATTCGAGCGCAAGTTGTATGGGTAGCGATTTTTCTGTCAAGTTCTCGTCCGTGCCCATAATTGAGTTGACGTCGCATCCGTCGTTTTTGCATTGATAGCGATAGGATAGGATGTAAATAAAGTCGTCGTCGTCTGCGATGCGTCTGGCAAGTGGGTTTGCATTTGGGACACTTGAGCTCTTCTACCAAAAGGTGGACGAGCCAAACGTACACACGTAGAAATATAAGTCGGTTGGTTCAAGGTAGTTCTCCTGGTACATAGCGAAAAAGGGGGCTGGTGGCAAAACCTAAAAGATCTTGTTTCTGTAGCAGGTACTGCTCAAATACTTCAGGCGTTACCAACGTTTCTACATCGCGTCCCACCAACGGTGTCACTAAATCGTTAAACTGATGAGAAACAAATGAGCACAATTGAGAAAATGCCCCTCAATTAAGTGAGAGTAGAGTAGTGGAAACTTACTTCACTGTGTGTAGATATGTCAAACGTAAAAAATTACGTCGTGGGCCACGCAACGGTTAACCTGCCTTATAAGGAAGGCAATCGGTTGTAAATTTCTGGCCACGCAACGGTTAACCTGCCTTATAAGGAAGGCAATCGGTTGTGAATTTCTGGCCACGCAACGGTTAACCTGCCTTATAAGGAAGGCAATCGGTTGTGAATTCCAACAATTAGCCTTGGGTACCTTTCCCACCTACCCGACCGTATAGTTTGACACAACCAGCAACGACTTCATGAGTGGGTTAAAGCAGCATGCCAACTTCATCATTAATAACAGTTACATCTCCGTACCCAAGGCAACAGATGCACGCCGAAACAATGCCGGCCGTCACCGGACAGTTGAACGTAGTATCACTTTTTTCTGTGATCACTTAAGAGAAACATCGGTTCCAGCTGTCCCTGCTCTGCCTATAGACTCAACTGAGCCTGCTCCCATCAAAAAACGTCGACTTGCACAACCTTCTATTAAAGTAAACTGTCGTGCTCGATATTGTATTCAATACTTATTCTCAGGCAAAATCAAAGTTGTATATCACTGGCAACATCAGCACCATGTGTAATATCCAATAAACCAAAAGAGACAGAATAAGTCAACGAGACCCGAAAGGAAATTCAAACTGGTTTATTACGATAACAAAAGTTCTCACTATTTATAAGAAATGGCTTATCCTTGGCAACTACCACAGCGTGTGCATTGAACGGATGAATTGATGTTATAAATCAATCATATAGGATTAAGTAATGTATGATGCATGAGTAAAAGGTACATCCGGGTAAATGCCTCAGATAGTAGCTAATGTGAATTACGTGATCCCAATAATGACAACTTCTTCCTGAGCATAGCTGATCGGTGTTTCACCAAGATGTGTATGAATAAAGAAATGTCCGCACAAGTGAGGTTATGAGGGAAATAACAGCAATCATTTATGAAAATATAGCCACACTTTAGCTCCTAATCCTTTCGCTTTCATTTAACATCAGTATTGACATACTACATACATGGTGAGCCTTTGGCAGTCGTTCTTCGGAAACTCACATATGGTTACAAACACTGATTTTCTTTTCGTTGAAAAAAACATCATTTATGTTTGTACTGAATTTAGAGCTTTATTTGTAATTATATATATATATGCATTTCTAATCTAGGTGATGTTTTGACTTGAGTACTTATAAAAAGAGTCGTGTAGTCCTGCAGCTGTTAGTAAGTTCACGTCCTAAGTAATGATAGCCCCCTGTTCTTTTTTGTTTTTTTTTTGCTTGTTTTTTTAAGATCATACAAAAGTACTAGTACAGGCACTTCGCTGCTTGGTTCTGCCTTTCTGTCTTGATGTGTTGTCGATTTTTCAGTAGCCCATATTGCCGTCAGTTTGTCTGTTGTTTTTTTTTTGAGCCACGAACCGTATTTTCGCATTTCCTAGTTGATCATCTTGACTTCGCTCTTTTGCATAGACGGCGTTGTCCTGAGTTGCGACTTGAAAGTTGAACTCCTATGCTTCGAATCTATGTCTTGCACTGATGATTGTTGAGGTTATTTTGGCGATGGAAATAGTCTTAGACCTAAACAGATGAACGTCAAAGAGCTTTTTATGTTAGATAGTGACGATTAGATGAAATTTGAGCACCTGTTGCTGTTTTCTGTTTGTACGTACTGTCAATATTACCAATCCCTTCGCTCGTCCTGTGCAGTTTAACTTGATGGCGTGTTCGTGTTGGCCATGGCTTGACGTTGTTTTTGTGTAAGATGTGGATAATAGAATTGGCTGTTCTGCGTGTTGATTTCTCTTTGTTTTGTTGATGGTTCCTGAATATGCTTGTATAACATATCTGTCAAGACTTGTTTTAACGCTGCTGTTGTGCGTGTGATATGAATAAGCCCATTCGATGATACGACTGATGTCCTCTTTTGTGTGCCTTCTTGGCCTCGTGCTCCATCAAACGTCAGTGACGCCTTTTCGTTTCGCGACACTGGCTTTTGCTTCTTCCATTGCCTTGAGCTTCGCGTTTTGTGTCACGGACTTGGTTTTGCTGATTACTGTATATTTTTCTAAACTAATACTAACACTACTTTTTTTTTTCGATTTCTTGTTTTTTTTTTGGGGGGCCATCAATACATAGAAAATAACTTACTAGCAATCTGTCAGACAAAGAATAGGTGTAAATTTTGGCGGATCTCGATTTGTGGAAAGAGACCTTCACTAATAAAGAAGATAGAGTAAAATCACAGTGAGCACAAGTGTTTACAAAAGTACTGAGCATAAAGTGCGTTGATTTTCCTTACCACGATACTACTATACGTGCTTGTTCTCCTTTTTTGATTTGCACTATCATTCACGACTGGAATAGAGACTGCCACCATCTCTCTCTAGTGATGTTTCTTGTTGCTGCCAACGCATGACAAGGAAAGGATGATAACAAGTGTCCTTCCTTGTCTGCATCATGCCCGGCTACACTGGTCGCTGTTTTCACTACTAGATTCATTTGAGCTTGATAAGTATGTATTCCCAGTGGTACTAATTGCATCATATTTCTGTTTCAGCCTCACATCATCGACATTCAAATTACCTGTTAGTCTCCTACTATGATTGTATTGCTGCCGTAAACCAATGAGTATGCTTGGAAGTCCATAGTGTGTAGATCTTGATCACATGTCTTGTCTTGTTCTTCTGTGCATCAAGAGACCTTGATTGTTTCCCTCGTCGTGTAGTGGTTTCGGACGCGCTTTAATGTTCGTTGCTTGCTTGTTGTTGTATATTTGACAGTTGTATATGAATGACGAGCCAGCTTCGTTCGGCCATTGATATTGTGAAAGTGCCGTCGTGTCGTTCCATCATTCACTTGCTGATACTGTCCTTAGAGGCAATGTCTTGTTTGATGCCCTTGGGCGGTTTTTTTTGTTTTTGCTGCCACTGCCTGCTGCTTGTTCATTTGCCACCGTGTTACATAGACCCACCAAAGCAGAAAGGATACTGGCTAATATGAATACTGGCTTGTTCAAAAAGCTCTGAGCATTGCTGTCCGTGATATCCCTGCTGCACATACCGATGTTTTTTATGACTCTTCATCGCCGACTTTTTGTGCCACCTTTGCCGCCTTGTTTACTAAGAGGAGATGTATATAAGTATCATTCCCTGTTTAATTAAGTATTGGCCTGATCAAATAGTCACGTACTGTACACTTACTATTATTATGTATCCACTAAACGGTCGTGTGAAATGTTGTCAGTTTCACCTAAATCTTGCTGATGCTTTTGCCTTTTGCTGTCATTGCTTTTGTGCGATTCATGTCGCTCGCGTTTGTTGTCAATTCTGCCTTTTTATAGCTTGCAACTGTTGATGAAAGCTTTGGTCTTGTTGTCATTTCGAATGTGTCGTCAATGTTGCTTTTTTCTGTCGTTTGAGTTTTGTACTCCTTGCTGCCCTGTAGATTTGTCACCATTTCCGCCCTTGCTGCTGCTTGATTTGTGCTGTCACACAGTGTAAAATCGATTGACCCTGTGTTGCCGCCTAAATTGTTGATGCCATGAGTATTCCCGCCGTATATGTGGTGTAATAACTCTGGTTCGCCAAGATAACGTCATATCATATCGTGCATTGCCTAGCTCTCGTAATTCCTTGTCTCTTTTGCTTCTTGTGTGTGATTGCCGCCACATCGGTAGCCACAGGTTATCTGCCAACAGACAGTACTGTTCTTGGTTTGATTGAAGGTTGTTGCTCTCTGTTGTTTTCGTTGTCATAAGCAGGGATAAACAAAAGTTGCCATCTTTGGAGGAAAAAAACATCGTTGACCAGCTTGACAAGCTATCATACGTGCTGTTGCCGACTTCCAACTTCATGTCCTATGCTTCCAATAGCCACCATATTAAAAGATGTCTCCTCGAATGTCGTTTGTTTTGTTGCCACCTTATTGATTTCCGACGGACTGAAATAATTGCCATATTCCACTGTTGTCGATTTTTTTGACCAGCTCAGAATTTCTTACATGCCGATGTCCACAGGTCAGCGACTGCTGTCCAATTCGCGCAAAAGACACGTGTCGTCTTTTTGTCTCGGTCGTTTTGTCCACCCACAATAGTTGATGTCAGAGTTTGTACACGACGACTTGCAGTTAATTCGCCCATGCAAGTTTTGAATGTATGTACCGCCTTTTGATGAGGATCTTGAGTGCAGATACCCGCATCCGTTTGAAAAGTACTTGTCGCCATAGCATCACCAGTAGATAGTAAATCTGCTCCTTCCCTAGTATGTCGATTCGTCGTTTGAATGGATGTTGCTTGTCCTTGGACGCACGCTTGTTCGATGTCGTTGTCGCTGTCGTTGGTGTTGTTGTAATGATCAAGAACGTCAGATCAGAAAAAAACCGTCAAAGAAATTTCGCATGTTGTGTATTTGATAATGTGCTGCCAATAGACTGATCAAGCCAAAGACGGAATTCTGCCAATCCTCGATTCGAAACCAAGCCCCGGAAATCTGTTGCCACCTGTACGGCATAACCACCATGACTGCTCGTCAGATACGTCCACCAATACCATAGGAGACGGCATGGTCAAGCCAAAGACGGGATTCTGTCTATCCTCGAACCGACACCAAGTAAAAGAGGTTGTTTTTACTCGGCTAGCCTGGAAATCTGACGCTACCCGTAGCAGCATAGTCACCATGACTTTCCGTCAGATTCATCCACTAAGACCACATGAGATGGCATAATCAAGCCAAAGACGGGATTCTGTCAATCCTCGTTTCGAAACCAAGCCCTGGAAGTCTGACGCCACCTGTAGCAGCATAATCACCATGATTCATCCACCAACACCACACGAGACGATGTGATCAAGCCAAAGACGGGATTCTCACAACACCCCGAAGTTTTTACTCGGCTAGCCTGGAAAGCTGACACTTTCCATCGCGGCGTACCACACACACCGCTGGCCAAACACCCCAGTCCGGACACCCCAGCTTCAGGAATCCCCAAGGCAAAGGTGAAGGAAGGAGTTGGACTTACATGACATGACACTGACTACAACCGGTGGGGGATCCAGGACATGGAAAGGGCGAGGATAACTCCGGTTGAGCGGGTGGCGGGGATTGGAGGAACAACATTGCCCTGGTACAGGTAGGACTTCTGCAGGAACACCATCCACATGAGCTGGAACTGACTGGAATGACAACCCTGGGAAAGGAATAAATTCCTTAAGTTTCTAGTAGCCTTCTTCAAACCACATCCGAGTTGAATGCAGTACGAAGAAGGAAAGAATGAAAGGAAAAAGGCTATATCAGTTGTAAGCCTCTTCTTATAAAGATGGTTGTAGGTATTAAAGAAAGCACAGTACGTACCGTAAATATACAAGCTCGGCGCCTTGGGTTGTCATTTGCTGTCAAGAATCGCCGCTGTACATGTGACACGATGGTATATTCCTGCTGCCTACACAACCAGAGCGTTGTTCCCCTCCCCACCACCGGCTCTACCATCATCGCTATCCCCATGTGCCCCCCCACATCCCTTCAACCCCCGGTGGCTGTAGCAGTGCCACTGCCACTGCCAACTCAATCCTGCCTTTACCTCGAAGAAACATCCACTGGGATGGCCGGACCGCTCCCCAACGCCTGACGAAGGCGGAAACCGCCAGACACCACCGAACAACAGAGTACGCTCTACTTGAAACGAGATGATAATATTATTCGTTAGTATTCTATGCAGATCAAGCAAATAGGGCTCAACACAAGATCGAATATTTACCCCAGCAGAACGCACGCAAACAGACACCGGAAAACAAGAAGAAAAAAAGCGGAGCAAATGGAGACGACGGCAGTAACGGCGGAAAGTGATGGACAGCACCAGGAAAAAGGGACGAAGACAGCATAAGTGGCATAGGTGGCATAGGTGGGCATAGGTGGCATAGTGCGCGGAATTCGTCCTTCGCGGCTTTCTCTTCGTCGTACGTTTGCGCGGCATCGTCCTTCGCGGCTTTGGCGTCGTACTCGTGCGCGGAATTCGTCGTCCTTCGCGGCTTCGGCGTCGTACTTGTGCGCGGAATGCGTCGTCCTTCGCGGCTTTCTCGTCGTCGTACTTTGCGCGGCACCTCCCTCGCGGCTTTGGCGTCGTACTCGTGCGCGGAATTCGTCGTCCTTCGCGGCTTTCTCGTCGTCGTACTTTGCGCGGCATCGACCTTCGCGGCTTCGGCGTCGTACTTGTGCGCGGAATGCGTCGTCCTTCGCGGCTTTCTCGTCGTCGTACTTTGCGCGGCACCTCCCTCGCGGCTTTGGCGTCGTACTCGTGCGCGGAATTCGTCGTCCTTCGCGGCTTTCTCGTCGTCGTACTTTGCGCGGCATCGACCTTCGCGGCTTCGGCGTCGTACTTGTGCGCGGAATGCGTCGTCCTTCGCGGCTTTCTCGTCGTCGTACTTTGCGCGGCACCTCCCTCGCGGCTTCGTCGTCGTACTTGTGCGCGGCATCGACCTTCGCGGCTTCGGCGTCGTACTTGTGCGCGGAATTCGTCGTCCTTCGCGGCTTTCTTGTCGTCGTACGCTTGCGCGGCATCGACCTTCGCGGCTTCGGCGTCGTACTTGTGCGCGGAATGCGTCGTCCTTCGCGGCTTTCTCGTCGTCGTACTTTGCGCGGCACCTCCCTCGCGGCTTCGGCGTCGTACTTGTGCGCGGAATGCGTCGTCCTTCGCGGCTTTCTCGTCGTCGTACTTTTTTTCTGTTCAGGCGCGCTCTGTGGCAGCACCTAGCTCCTGATCATCATCAGATCGAGGAGGAGGCGGGGAGGGACGCGGCGAGGAATCGGGACAGAGGTAGGGTAGGAGCGACATGAGCGAGAATGTAATCGGAGGCAAGGGATGGAAGTGGTTGATGAGCTTCCACAAGACGAACGCAACGAAAAGCACAACTATGCAAGCCAGAAGAGCAGCAAGCTTGGCAACAAA